TCCATGGGAGAGTTCCAAGGCAAAAGCCACTGCTGACCAAAAAGAACACACAGGCTCGTCTCTCATTTGCCAAACAATATCTTGATTATCCCCAAGACTTTTGGGCAAATATTCTGTGGACTGATGAGACAGAAGTTGAACTTTTTGGAAGGTGTGTGTCCCGTTACATCTGGTGTAAAACCAACACAGCATTTCATAAAAAGAGCATCATACCAACAGTCAAACATGGTGGTGGTGGTAGTGCTTTGCAGCTTCAGGACCTTGACAACTTGCCATAATTGACGGAACCATGAATTCTGCACTCTATCAGAAAATCCTGAAGGAGAATGTCCGGCCATCAGTTTGTGACCTCAAGCTCAAGCGCACTTGGGTTATGTAGCAGGACAATGATCCCAAACACACCAGCAAGTCCACCTCTGAATGGCTCAAGAAAAACAAAATGAAGGTTTTGGAGTGGCCAAATCAAAGTCTGGACTTAAATCCGATTGAGATGCTGTGGCATGTTCTTAAACAGTCCATTCATGCTCGAAAACCCTCCAATGTGGCTGAATTAAAACAATTCTGCAAAGAAGAGTGGGCCAAAATTCCTCCACAGTGATGTGAAAGACTCATTGCCAGTTATCGCAAACACTTGATTGCAGTTGTTGCTGCAAAGCGTGTCACAACCAGTTATTAGATTTAGGGGCAATTACTTTTTCACGTAGGGCCAGGCAGGTTTGGACAGCTTTTTTCCCTTAATAAAATAAATAATCATTTAAAAACTGCATTTTGTATTTACTTGCATTATCTTTGTGTAATATTAAAATTTGTTTGATGATCTGAATCTTTTAAGTGTGAAAAATATGCAAAAGATTTAAAAAACAGGAAGGGAGCCAACACTTTTTCACACCACTGTATGTTGTATCATCTCATGAGTAATCATAACAACAGTTTTAATACATTATAATATTTACTTATTTGTGGTTATAGCTTTTAAGATTATGATTATTTATAATACACAATGAACACAATGCATCCACATAACTTACAATGGATTATATTTCCCATAATTATAATGTATTATAAGTCTCATATCTTGCCATTGTTAACTTGTTACTTTACTTAAAGCAGACAAAGACCACTTATAAATAACAACAATGACTACAACAACAACAATATAATAAAAATAATATGTCAAGATAAGAGACTTACAATCCATTATAAATTAAGTGGATTTAACATGGTGTTTATTGCGTGTTATAATTAATCATACTCATAGAAGTTAGAACTACTAATAAGTAAGTTTTATAATGTATTATAATTGTTGTTATGATTATTTATGAGATGAAACAACATATAAGTTTTTTATAATGCATTATGCATTAATTATAATGCCTTAATAATACCCTTATAATGTGTTATAAAAATGGGCTTCATAGAAAGTGTTACTGAAGTTACTTTTAAAACATTAAAACTATTACTGGTGCATTTATAATATGTGTGTATGCACACTTGTAGTTCGGTTCTCTTGTTTCTTTTGGTCAGAACCAAAAAAGAAAACGTTACATTTAGCTGTTTGTCCTGGGTTTTGTTTAGTGTTTACACTGTCATTTTTAACATCGAACCTGAAGATACAAAACAAAAGGCATAAAGAAAAGGTCACTACCGCCAGCTTCTTTGGCGTATATATTTTATTTTGGAGCTTACCGAACATTCAAAACAATGCTCTGTGCTCGGCTAAATGTGCTCATTGTGTGTGTGTGTGTGTTTGTGTGTGTGTGTGTGTGTGTATACATATGGTGGTATTTTTTACCAGCTGAGAACTCACAAAGACCTTATAAAATGTTTAAAGGAGTCAAAACAGCATCAAACATTCCTCAGCTGTACACACAAATGAAGATCTGCTGCAAGAAGACTAGGGTTGGGTATCGATTGTTTTTTTTTACGATACCGGTGCCAAATTGATACTTCTAAAAAAAGAGCCACAAAAAAACGATGGATAACATTAAAGAACAATAAAAATATTTAAAATAAATATACATAGCATTCACATGCTCCTCAGATGCTCTCATTTCCTGAGTTGTGCTTCCCTTACTCTAAGGCTAATAAATGTGTTTCACGATCTGGGTCATTATTTAAATATGCTGCGATTTCAAGTTTTCCTTTCTCTTTGGAGTGTTACAAGCTCTTGGTGCATAAAGAAGATCTGTAAAGTTGCCATCATATGACCCCTTTAATACAAAACAATATTTAATACAACACCACACATAATGTTTCTACTGTATCTCTGTCAATCACTCTGGTATTTCGTTAAAATGAGTGAATTGACTTAGTGCTGTCTTTAATCAGGTCTGTGAATGACTGTATGGTATGCCACATGCACTGTAATATGTTTTATATTAAATATAAAATTTTCAAATGAAAATAGCAACATGATCGTTTTATAAATTATGCGTTCATATGTGTTAAAGGCTAGATTTTCGCTGGAGGAAACAGCTGTGGTGTGATGAGGGGTGAACACAGCGAAATCGCGCTGCGCCGTGGTCTGTGGATTGAAGAGCGCGCTGAAAGACGGGGAGGAGATGAAGTCTGCCGCCGTTTTCATATGAAATTTAAAGGGGACTGACTCTGAGGCGATCACGAATTTGTGTATAATTTACGGACCTAATCGCTATAGCCCCGCTAAAAATGGCCTAGCGATGCCCATGCTTCTTACGACCATTTCGGGGAACCAGGAGAAATATTTAAATCGATCGCTCAGGCATTTAAGTGGCACCGAAATGAGGCACCGAAATCTGAGTTCTGATTCGGTTCTAGTACATTAGAAGACGGTGATTCCGACACCTTTAGCACACTGTAATGGGTTTTGATTTGTTTACATGTCTTTGGTCCTTGTTGTGTTCATATATCAGTCAAACCACACCCTAAAAAGTCTTGGTCCGCTTGTTTGACATGCACTATGGTTTGGATGGCCGTGTTCACACTTATTCAATGAACAGCACTAATAAGAGCAATCACTCCGGAGTTTGTTTTAATTGAACCAAACCTGCCAAGTGTGAACACACCCATAGTTACACAAGGTACCCAGAGAGGAAACGTGCAGTATTTTTCCTTTTACAAATCTTGCCCCGATTCCCCAATAAACATGTAGAACATCACTAACCCATCATTACTCCTTTATGACCACAGAAAACTCACTGTTTATGGAAATCTCCAGTTTATTTTATAGCACATTGTGTAAAGCTTGTCTGAGTGAGCAAAAGCAACTTAGTCAAGGTCAGTTGCTTCCATGACTATAAATTAATATGGCCAATGTGCACCTAATAAAACATTTATTTTTCAGACAATCAAACTGAGTGTGTACTCGTACCATAATGGCTTGCTGGACTAGCGTGTTGCAGTGTTCACACATGTTCTTCAAGATCTTGTTGGCTGCGTTGTGGCGGGCAGTGGTAGTGGATTTGGAGGCCACAGTCAGAGGATAAATCAAAGCCTTTAAGAATGAAAACACAAATCATGAATATCAAAGTGCTGCTAACGAAGGAAACACAGGTTATGATTAATGCACACAACAAGTCTGGACACACCTAGTCATTCTTTGTCATGACTAGTCATCACATTTTAGAATAATAGTGAAGTCATCAAAACTATGAAATAACACAAACGGTAGTATGAGTGTAACCTTTTAGGTTACACATTTCAAACCAATGTTTCAAGGAATTCCATTTGAAGTTATATTCTTCAGACCCTGGTCTGGACGCACAAGGTGGGTAAGTTTAGGGGAAACAAAAAACAGTTATCTTTAATTTATGGAAGGTTACAAACAGCTACTTCCCCCTCCTCAAATATATTCAGGGAGGAATGGGAGCGAGAGGGAAGAGTGAAGTGGTATCTCTGAGATGGTCTGGCAGAGTGGTTTGGAAGATATTGATAAACAATCTATCAATACAAGATTATGCCTCATTCACTTTGAGGCCATACATAAATAACACTTCTCAAAAAAGAAACTGCATAGATTTCTTTTTCACCAATGTTTTTTCCCTCTTTATGATAAATGCAAATCAGATTATGCTAATCTATCTCATAGTTTCATCTTCTGCCCTAAAATACAAGGATTCTAGTGTGAGGTGCTTTCCGTAATGTGAAGATGGAACCAGACCCAGTGTTCCTTATACTTTGACACTCTGATTTTACATACTCTTTGAACAAAGCTCAACATGAATTCCTCAAATTTAGTCTAACAGCCAAGAAGCTGTTATAACTGTTGTGGAAAAGGACTGACTCTCCTACTGTTGAACTATGGCTTGAGGAACTGACATCTAACTCACATCTGAAACAACCTCTTGAAAGGCAGCATTGAACAATTTGACAAGATATGGGACACTTCATAACTGAAGTGTTGTATTAATGCCACCATATTGGTTTAAGTGGAATAGACCGGGAAGGGGGGGTGGTTAAAATTTTATTTTATTTTTTTATAAATTTTTATGTTTATTCAAATTGTGCATATAAGAAAAATGTAAATATAAGACAGATTCTTCCCCAAGTGGGCTCGCCCTCAGACTCTTGAATGCCTCAGCTTCAGGGCTGATTTTTTTCTGGCAGACCAAGAGGACAGATCTCAGGTCCAGCTTTTCTTTGGGCTGTTGAGAAAGTGTTGAGCACCAGTTTCAGTGATGTAGCATGCTATGTCACCTGACCTCTTCATCTGCCAATAGAATTGGCATGACTGCACATGTGCTTCAGACACCATCACGTCAAAGGCATTCCTCATAGTCAGTTCCAGAAGCAGCACTGAGTTCCCACGAAAGGGAACCACTTCTAACAGACCAAGATGTCGATTTTCATCATTTTTTAAATTAAGAACATGAGAGATGATAAAAATTGCCTTTATTATGGAGATGGCCTTTCTATGTGCATTTATTACTCTACACAATTGTTTCTTTCTTTTTTTTAACTGATATTTTTATTAATACATGGTGATCATTACTATTTTTTACATATACCTGGGGGTGATAGCGGCCAATGTCAGTGAGTAGCTGGTGTATAAGACGTCCCACCAGTGCACGTGGGGTATCGATCCGAGCTATTAGTTGAGGAATCACCTGATTGAAAGGAAGAAGTTAATACATGTTTTTTTTTTTTTTGCTGATTTCAAGTGAAATTCTGCTATGTACAGTTTATAGCGATACCATACTTTTCTTCAGTATAAAAAAGTGTTAACATCCTTAAACCAACATACGTACATTTGTTTGGGAAGCTTAATTGTGTAAGATAATAAGACTCCATGAATACACAGATCTAACTAAATCAAATCTGGTAAAACCACATGTGAAATTTAACTTGTGAAAATTTCAGTTGGAATCGAGACCCTGCTTATGTATAGACAGCTGGAAATGGTCTTACCTGTAACCATGTGTCTATCTGAATGGTCTTAATACCCTCGACTAGAGCTTCATTCACCTCGGGCCAGTGGCCATAATCAAACCATAAGGTCAGGACTCTAAATGTAAAGGAACAAATACACAATCATACACAATGTAAAATTATTTGATGAATTGCATGTGAATCCAGTATATTTCAATTGTTTTTTGTTTGCATGGTGCTGTACAGAAGAGGGTTACAAAAAATAATTTAATAAAAAAATAAAAAAATAAGAAATTCACAAGTATTTATTATAGCATGTCTGGACACAGCATCTCATATCCTCTTCATTCATTCAACATTCATGCTGGCAGTTATTAAACCACTTATCAAGAAACCACAACTTCTACCATGTTGGTTCCTTGTTGGTTAATTATGCACCCAACTCAAATTGTCAATTTCTGTCTAAAGTTTTCTAGAAAAAGCTGTGTCTGCTCAACTGAGCTCTTTTTGCTGATAAATGGCATTTATGAAGAGAGTCAGGATTTAGACTCCATAAAAGAACATACACTGTTCTTTTCAGAGTGACAAATTACTTTTGTGCCCCAAGGCTCTATTTTACTTGTCCATAAATCTTCTAGGACATTTTTTAGGAAACATAGAATTATCTTTTAATGTTTTGCAATTGTTATCAAAAGTACAGTATGGAGTACAACAATGCTCAGTACTAGGACTGTTGCTTTTCACGCTTTACATGTTACCCTTGGGAGATATCATCAAGAAACATGGTGTTAGCTTTCACTGTTATGCTGATGATACTCTGCTCTATATTTCTTTGTGGCCTGATGAAACATACTGTGTTTACTTTGTGGAGACGTGCTGATATCACGTTTGGTCTCGTTCTGTATCGCGTATCTTGTCAGTGTCTGCGCTTGCTTGGCCATTTGTTGTGGAAAAAAATAAGGAAAGTGTGTTCAAGCAATGTATGTGTATATATATATATATATAAATGTATGTGTGTATGGTTGTACATACACATATATGTAGTTGTTTTTTTGTTGTTTGGCTTAGTTTTATGTTAGAATCATTATTATACTCTTACACCTTTTGTTCTTTAATATTTTGAATTGTTTTTAGCTTTATCTTTTGTTTTTATAAAAGCGTCTGCTAAATGACTAAATAAATAAATAAATACCAATTTGCAAAACTAACGGAATGCACAGTTGATATAAAAAACTAGATGACTAGTAATATTCTACTGCTAAATTCTGAAAAAAACAGAAATTTTAATTATTGGACCAAAAACCTCCACATGTAATAACCTAAAACACTGTCTAACACTTGATTTACATTATTGTAATGCTTTATTGGGTGGTTGCTCTGCGTCCAAAAAACTTTAGTAATATTATAATTACACCTAAGGGAACATAATAAAATAATTATAATTATTATTATTATTATAATAATAATAATGAAAAGAACCAAGAAGTATGACCATATTAGCCCAGTTCTGTCAACACTGCACTGGCTCCTTATTGAATATCGAACACATTTTAAATTCTTGCTAATTACTTATAAAGCCCTGAATGATTTAGCTCCTCAATACTTGAGCGAACTCATATCGCATTATAGTCCTTCACGTCCACTGCGATCTCAAAACTCTGGCCATTTAATAATACCTAGAATATCAAAACTTCTATAAAACTTCTGTAAACTATCGCTTCAGGCCACCTGCCACATGTGGGTTCATGAGAGTGTTGTGAAGTGACATGTCTGCATGTTGTGAAAACATGTTCTGAAGGTGAAAACTGTAGTGTTTTAGCACATTTTAAAACAAGACAACAGCCTCTAAACAGACTCAGAAATATACGTTAATATAGAAATACAGTTTTACTGTCGCCTAGATTACTTGCTCTCTTACCTTAGTGTGTCCTGTAAGTTATTTCCACGTGAGAGTGAGATAGATCTGAAAAATCCCTGCACTGCCGGCACTGTGTACAGAAGGAGAGTCTTGGACAAATCCTGCAACATAGAAAACATATAATTCAACTCTAAACATTACATGACTGTAAAAATAATGTCATACATAAATCCACATTATTTCCTTCGCATGCACTTTTAAGCATGTTGTCTGTGCCAACTTCATGTTTTATTTGACTTCAAGATTTTTGACTGAATGTCACTGCATTTGCTGTTTATTCGCCCAAATGTCTGTTAAACAACATTATTTAACTTCCTGTGCAATTCTGGGTTTTAAACTGTTAAGAGAACCTTGTTTATAGCAATGATCTGCAGATTTGTTCATATGGGAGAGTAAACATATTGGAAGATCAAAGATGCTAACTTCATTTTATTGTTGGCCAAATTTAAAACGGTTTACTTGTTTTAGAAAATTGTTTACAAGTTTGGAATTGCACTAAAGGTGAATGCTGGTGAAGCTTCACACACAAGCTTCCAATAATACTTCAGTGTTGATGGCTGGCTTTGGTTTGTTTCTCACTTCATTGACTTTCTTCTGTCCAGGCGAGGGTACAGGGCTGTGCTCTGTGCTGTCGGCCTCACTGTCACTGTTACTGGCTTCGCTGTTGGCACTGGCACCGCTTGCGTGTCGTAGTTTCTTCTTCTCATCACGGCCCTGGTTCTGGTGCTTGTAGTGAAGCACAGCCTCAAAGTTCATTACTGCCCAAGCATGCCAGGCCTGCAGAGGCAATATGCTTTATCTTATTTTTTGATAACACTGAAAACAACAGCACAGATCCAAAAACACAACTTTAATGGAAATAAACTGTCACCTGCATAGAAACAACTGCATGATAAATAATATGAATGCTTGACCATGACTAAGAAAAATCTTTTCTCAAGAAGAATTTAAAATGAAAGATTTTCAGAGCAATTCCAGCTAAATGCTCCTAATTAAACAGTCATCAGTGAATCTCACAAATTCTAAAGAACATAAGCAAAATAAATAAATAAATAATAATAATAAAAAAAAGCTCCTTGGGCCGATTTACACAGAACATGTTTTTTTTTGAAAAACATGAGATTCAGGCAGTGAATGGTTTTAAAGGGGTCATATGATGCTGCTAAAAAGAACATTATTTTGTGTATTTGGTGTAATGAAATGTGTTTATGCGGTTTAAGGTTAAAAAACACATTATTTTCCACATACTGTACATTATTGTTTCTCCTATATGCCCCGCCTTTCTGAAACGCGTCGATTTTTACAAAGCTCATCGGTCTGAAAAGCAAGGTGTGCTCTGATTGGCCAGCTATCCAGTGCGTTGTGATTGGCCGAATACCTCAAGCGTGTGACGGAAATGTTACGCCCCTTATCATATTGTGATGCCCTGTCCGGCCGGAGCATAACATAAAACCATTTTTGCATTTGTGATCGGAGAAATGACAAACAAGTGCTACTCTACACTGCCCAAAAAACGCACGTTTGAATTAGGGATGCTCCGATCTGCCTTTTTCGCCTCCGATACCGATTCCGATACCTAGGGTTCGGTATTGGCTGATACCGATACCGATCCGATACCAGTGAAGTTTTTTTCACTCATTTAAATAAATGTAGAATTTATATATCTCTGTGTGTGGAACTGATAATCATTCTTTCACAATCTACTAGATACAGACTACTTCATTATAAAGAAAAATAAAATAAACAATAAATATGAAAAAATATAGGCCTATGTATATTTATAACCTATGACAAAAATTTATCATAAACTAGGTTAGTGGATAATTCGGCAGCTTTATGCTCCTGTCACCATAATTACATTGAATCACAAAATCACACAAATCTGCCAGCCCACTAAATAATTGATTATAACTAATTATGATTAATTATATAAATTCCCATTTAAACAAATTTGCGTTTTGAGCTAGAGCTCTTTGGCAAGGAAGAGTGGGAAAAAACTGACAAATCGAAGTTGATAGACTCTAATACAAAAAGACTGGCTGCTCTATTACAAAATATGTGCAAACCTATGCAACCAGGTTATTTTAGGGTGTTTATACCCTCCTAAATTTGCCATTAACTTCCATTGTATGTGCCTCACTGGAACCAAAAATTTTCTTTTTTTTCTTTTTTTTAAATGTTATTGTTTTTATTTTGTAAAACAGAATTGCTGTTTATGAGATAAACTTTTATACATGGAATATTCCTGTAAGTTGTTTATCTTTTATTCAAAAATATACATTTTGTTGCAATACTGCATCCATATTCTTGCACTACTGTATATCGCACACCCAAATGTATAAATCATGTTTATTTTTAATTGTTTCCCTTGAATCATGTTTATGTTTTGCACAAGGCAATGATAAATTCAGCAATTCACAATTCTGCTTTGCTAATAAAATAAAATAAAAATTTAACTGGGTTAAGACACAGAAGATAAAAATAGGTTAGACACAGATGCCTGAACAATGTTACTGCATAGTGTACATTTTAAATGTTTTAAATGATAATTTCATATCATTTCATTATTTTTGACTTACAGTGAATAGTAATGTACTCTCACTGATTACATTAATTTTAAATATTTAAAAATGGTGCATTTCCTATACTTATTTAAATCTACTGGTAAAATCAGGCAACTGTAATGGGACTTTTTAATTTCTGAAATGTATAATTTTCCTTTTTTGGTGGACTATCCTTTTAAGGAATTGTGACTTGCTTGATTAAATGAAGAAAACTACTTGCTTTGACTTTGACTTCATAAGCAATGACTCGAGGCTTGACTCAGACTTGAACTGCATGACTCTACAATTACTTAATTATAGCAATTACTTAAAATAAGAACAGAAGTGCCTGGTTGCCACAGGGAAGTTCGTGGTAGTAAAGTTTTTCAATAGGGATGTATGAGTGCTGAAGGTGTGAGGGACTTGTGCTTTATCATGAATTCACACATCACTGTGTGATGTAATACAAAAACCTGAAACAGAAGATTCTACTGTCTGCTCAGCTGTTAAGAATTTTTTCACAAATCAGAAATTGAACTACGTGTACCACATATCGTGTTTTTTTTCCTCATGTCTCTTCAGCTGAATTGCTCAAAAACACTGATTTAAGTTGAAATGAAACATACTTTATACTTCTGTTGCTCAGGGATGTATATGGTTGATCCTGCTTTGGTTTTGTTTTCACTAGTCAAGCAAAAACAGCCTGGCAATGTCACTAAAATACAAGTTGCTCAGTAACTGCTTATTTATTAACTGTTGTATGAAAGCAAAATTACACTCGCATGTCAATAATATGTAGCTTTTAATATGATTAGAATATGATATCATTCACTTTAAATTTATATCTTTTTAAAAATTGTATTAAGTGTTTCCTAAAATTTCTAAAAATCCTAAAATTGTACTTCCAATTTGAAAAGAGATCTGTATTTCAGTATGGTCTCAAACTGTATTATTTAACATTTGAAGCATTTATGCATCATGATATCATAAACATCTAATGAGCATCAATGAGAAAAGAGATTTTGGGGTGACAGTGTGTACATGTTGATGACAGATTTAATGAGATTCACCCATATACATTTAAAGTTTGTGAAGTTAACATACCTTGTACCAGTTGCGATCGTGCTCTGTTGAGTGACTGTAATACTGTAACACTTTAGGGATGGTACTTTCATTGATACCCTGAAGGCTGAGCTGCCACTCCCCCAGCTTCAGAAAACACCTGCACAGAGGAGAAACACGGAAGAAAAATTTAATAAGGTCATTTTCGACAAGCTCTGTAGCACACAGCGTTTCAATTACAGTCATTAAAATTCATACACATGTAGATCTTATCAACTTCCGTTCCCGACAGTCATTGTTCCGCCCAACAGGAAGTTGGCTATTGTGGATCGTTTGAAAAACGCATGATCTGGAATTTTATATACTCCTCCTAGGGTTTTCATGCAGTCATTGCTCTTTGCCGTGTCCAAGATTCCCTCGTTCCATTTCAATGATCTCTTGAATCAGTTAAACAAATCCCTTTCGTCTTCATTGTCCATGTTCCCGTAAATGTCCTGAAGAATAATTTAAGAAGAACAATCTCTGGCAGCTGAGAACAACTGGGCCTGGAAGAGTCAGACAGCGAAGTTTAGAAGCTGTTTTAAGGGGAAACTAAATGTAAATTGGCCAATAAGAGGGAGGCAATATAACAGAAACAGTAAAACCTTGGAAGAGAACATTGTGTGCACAAATGAGTTAACTGCACGCTGTCAAAGATGATGCTATAGAACAGTGGTTCTCAACCTTTTTTTGGGCCAGCGACCCCCTACCTATTATCCAGGTCCCTCAGTGACCCCCATAATATAAAATGTGACCCGTGCTGGCAAAATGAGTCAGAATGCACACGGGCAAATTTTGAGCTACATGCAAAAAAGTAAAAAAAGTCTATTTTAGTCAAATTTGAGGTTTTCACAAAAATTAGTTCATTAAGCCCTCGTCTATCAATCCCAATGCTCCAAACAGTAATTAAACATCTAAAATTATCTTTATTCGTATGTTTTCTGAGAGGAGTACCTTTTCTCCGCTCGTTTCTCATTCTGACCGTCATCCGAAGCGCCCACATAAAGGCGCTTCTGACAGCGCGATCACGATACATATACACAGAACTACAGTATTTAAGTATTCACATAAACATAATCTGTTATGTCTTAAGTGAAAGTTTGGGGAACTGTTGGGGAAAAACATCTGATGTATAACATTATATTAGATACGTGCATTACAGTAGGTCTTAATATAGGCCTCAATGTTAATCTAACAATAAAAGATAAGAGTGAATCACTCGCTGCTCTACAGGCAGAAACTGAAATCAGCTAAACCTGTACTAAGGACTGTTAAAGGATGGACTAATGAAGCAGAGTAGGCATTACAAGCCTGCTTCGACTGCACTGACTGGAGTGTTTTTGAAGCTGCAGCCACCAATCTGGACGAGCTCACAGATACAGTAACTTCATATATCAGTTTCTGTGAGGATATGTGCATCCCTACTTAGCTACAACCCTAATTAAACACACCTGATCCAGCTAATCAGGTCCTTCAGGCTTATTTGAAAACTACATGGTATGTGTGTTGGAGCAGGATTGGAACTAAACTCTGCAGGGCTGCGGCCCTCCAGGAACTGAGTTTGACACCCCTGGTGTAGAGGATATGAACCGGGTATTCAGAAAGCAGAAGACTAGGAAAGCTTCAGGCCAAGACGGTGTTTCACCTGCCTGTCTAAAAGTCTGCGCTGACCAACTGGCCCCCATCTTTACACAGATCTTCTCCAGATCGCTGGAGCTGGTCCTGGCCTACCTGAAGGACATCACTGGACCCTTGCTGGATCCTCTTCAGTTTGCATACAGAGCAAACATGTCGGTGGATGATGCAGTCAACATGTGACTGCATTATTCTCTGCAACATCTTGATAGACCTGGGACTTAGCAAGGATCTTGTTTGTAGACTTCAGTTCGGCCTTCAATACATTCATGCCTGACCTTCTCTCAGACAAACTGATCCAACTCTCGGTGCCCACCCCAATCTGTCAGTGGATCACCAGCTTCTTGACAGACAGGCAGCAACTAGTGAGACTGGGGAAACTCACATCCAGGACTCTCACAATCAGCACTGGCGCCCCTCAGGGTTGCGTTCTCTCCCCACTGCTCTTCTCCCTGTATACGAACAAATGCACTGCAAAAAAAAAACCTCTGTCAAGCTCCTGAAGTTTGCGGACGACACTACAGTCATCTGCCTCATCCAGGAAGGAGATGAGTCTGCTTACAGACAGGAGGATAAAGAGCTGGCTGTCTGATGCAATCACAACAACCTGGAGCTCAACACGCTCAAAACAGTGGAGATGATAGTGGACTTCAGGAGGAACTCCCCTGCACTCCCCCCACTCACCATCATGAACAGCACTGTGGCAGCAGTGGAATCATTCAAGTTCCTGGGCAACATCATCTCACAGGACCTGAAGTGGGACACTCACATAGACTCGATTGTGAAAAAGGCCCAGCAGAGGCTGTACTGCCTTCGCCAGCTGAGGAAATTCAACCTGCCACAGAAGCTGCTCACACAGTTCTACTCGGCCATCGAGTCTGTCCTGTGTACATCCATAACTGTCTGGTTTGGTTCAGCCACCAAATCAGACATCAAGAGACTACAACGGACAGTCAGGGCTGCTGAGAGGATTATTGGTTCCCCCTGCCTAACCTCCAAGATCTTTATTCCTCCAGAGTGAGGAAAAGGACTAAGAAAATCACTTTGGACACCACACACCCAGCCCACTCTTCGAAATGTTGCCTTTTGGTCGGTGCTACAGAGCACCGACCACCAGAACAGCCAGGCACAAGAACAATTTTTCCTGCAGGCTATATTTAGCCTGAACAATTAAAACATTTATAACTATACATTGTCCATCATACCTGACATATTTATAAATAGAATCAATGTAAAATGCACACTTGTAAATAACATACCAGTACACTCATTTAAACAATTAAATTTTTTTTCTCTATATTTCTACTGTATATAGTGCATTATTTGATTTTCTGTTTTTCTTATAGTGTTATATTCCATCTCTACTGTGTAATTCTTTTTAGAAGTAGAAGTGAAGTTTTGTGGCATTTAACCCATCCAAGTGTACACACACATTAGTGAACACACACACACCGTGAACACACACCCAGAGCAGTGGGCAGCCATATTGCTGCGGCGCCCGGGGAGCAGCTGGGGGTTCAGTGACTTGCTCAGTCGTGGTATTGAAGGTGAAAGAGACTGGTGGTTATTCACTCCCCCACCTACAATTCCTGCCGGACCTGAGACTCAAACCCGCAACCTTCGGGTTACAAGTCCGACTCTCTAACCATTAGGCCACGACTGCCCCTGTGTAATTCCGGTGTATGTCTGCACTATCATGTATGTTTGCACTATGTTCGTACTTTCTTCTGCACTGGAAGCTCCTGTCACCAAGTCAAATTCCTTGTGTGTGTAAACACTCTTTTAAAAGCGTGTATTTCGTATTTAGACATTGCAGACCATATTCTTTTGCAAGTTTCAGCTCATTATTGGTGTAAACCCGCCTTAAAGGGGTCATATGATGTTACTAAAAAGAACATTATTTGGTGTATTTGGTGTAATGAAATGTTTATGCGGTTTAAGTTTCAAAAAACACATTATTTTCCACATACTGTACATTATTGTTTCTCCTCTATGCCCCGCCTTTCTGAAACGCGTTGATTTTTACAAAGCTCATCGGTCTGATAAGCGAAGTGTGCTGTGATTGGCCAGCTATCCAGTGTGTTGTGATTGGGCGAATACCTCAAGCGTGTGACAGAAATGTTACGCCCCTTACCATACTGTGATGCCGTCTCCCGGCCGCAGTGATGAGACAAAAACATTAAAACCCATTATAAACGAGGCATTTGTTGCATCCAGTGGGGACATAATTACAGATTATAATGACTTATTCTGTCTTTTTACGAGTTGCATTGCATTGCACCACGTAAACATAAAACGATGTCTGCATTTGTGATCGGAGAAATGACAAACAACAAGCCCTACTCTACACTGCCCAAAAAAGTTGCTTTGACACAATCTGTATTGTTAAAAGCGCTATATAAATAAAGGTGACTTGACTTGACTTGACTTGACAACGAAACACACAGCGTCACACACGGCTAGAATGAGCGGCGGCCGGCGGGCTAGAGAATGGCACGGCCGGCGGGCTTGCGGCAACCACATGTGACAACCCCAGGCTGGACTCCGCTTCGTCCACGTTGAAAGCCGATCCGGCGATCCACAGCGCGAAGTTGATGTATTTCCTCAGCAACCAGCACGGATCAGCTCTAGGCATGGCGAAGCGGATATCGTCCTCTTTTGGAAGGCCAAACAAAGTAGTTTCGCTTTCACAACGAAACACACAGCTCACGACATGGCGGTGGCGGCAACAATAATACTACAGCGAGAATAAAAGTTATGCCTTCATTCTTTGCATGAACATGTGGGCGGCGTTATGCAAACCTTCTCACATCGTGACGTAGACATGTTAGATGTTACATGTGTTAGAATGAGCCGTTTTAGGTAGGCGTGCCTCTTAACTTTTATGAAGAATATCTCTTTGGATTTGAGACTTTAGTCTTTGCAACTTTACAGATCTTCTTTATGCACCAAGAGCTTGTAACACTCCAAAGAGAAAGGAAAAACTGAAATCGCATCATATGACCCCTTTAGCTAAATGCCCCCTATACTATAGAACATCATATGTACAAACTTCTTGGTTGTAGAATTCTAAAAAGAATTTTAATATGCAACACAGTAACGATAATAAAACATTCCACAACAAATGAAACAAGATGTCCAGCAAACATATTTTCAACTAAGAAGAATTATAACAATTAGAGCTGCAAGCAGCACTGATGTGTAAAACATGTCGCCAGTAGGTGGTGGTTCTTAATCCTGATCTTGGGGAGCACCAGGTCTGCACATTTTGTACGTCTCCCTTATCTGACATGCTCAGTTCAGTTCATTAAGCTCTCTCCGAACAAGCTAATGATCTGAATCAGATGTGTTAAACAAGGGAGACATGCAAAATGTGCAGAGTGTGGGTCTCCAGGACCAGGATTAAGAACCATTGTTGTAAATGTAGATGTCTTCAGGTCAGGACTCCTTTCAAGCATGTGACATTCTATTTTTTAGTTACAACAACTTCCAGTAGGTGGCACTATGTCGTTTAAATTATTACTGTCATGTAGATGCATTCAAGTCAGGACTCTTATCAAACATTTGAAGTCTGGGACAAATTGGACCTTGTATTGGATGAGTAATGTACAGCAACATCATACAGCAATAATCATATCATTCAAACAGTTTGTTTGTGTTCGTGAATCTCTTTATGTGATGGCTGTAAATGAGTTGGCCGTGACACTGCAATTTAGCATCGCAAAGGCCTATAGATTAGACTCACCCAATATGGTATTAATCTGATTAAATCTCTAGGAGGAGTTTGTTAAAGTACATAATGACAGCAGGAGCGGTCATTGGTAGGGTTGGGTACCGAAACCCGGTACCAATATGGCACCGGTACCTATGTAACCGGTATGTACTAGAACCGAATCCGAACACAGATTTCGGTGCCTCATTTCGGTGCCATGCCTGAGCGATCGATTGATGTATTTGTCCTCAAGTTCTCCGAAACAGACGTAAGAAGCATCATCACCGGCACCGCACGTGAAAAATAATTCCCCGACTGAGAAAATGCACGTGAACTCAAGTCGGAAAGCTCTAATAATACAAATCCAACACATCTTTGTAGTAACGAGTGTGTCCATGTTGTTTTCACATTCCGACTTAAAAGCACAACTCGGGAAATGAGAGCATCCGAGGAGCGCGTGAATGCAGTAATTACACTTGCTGTGATGGCAGCAGGTAGCCTTCCGTTAACTAAGCTAAACATGCTTAAATTAAAATGCCTAAAACTTAACCTCCCTTGTATTCACATTTCTAAACCTGTTGTCCAACAAAAGAGAAAATTATAACCTTTTTACTCCACAACACCAGTCAAATGCTTCCTTTTGTGATCTGATGAGGCTTCTTGTCACAGAATGAGGCAGAAAATATGTTCCATATGCTACTTTAAAAAGAATACATCGATTAGCAATAAATTAGGGTGACCATACGTCCTCTTTTCCCC